CCCCTCCCACCGAAGTTGTAAATCCTCTTATACGGGTACACAATCAAATATACAAAAGATTCACATTACATTTCTGTAAAAACAATGAAGATCAATTTACATTTTATTATTATATGCAGGACTAGGGGCAATACTAGAGTTTGACCTCAATTTCTTGCACTTGGTAGTTAGACTCTCTACCATTGGAGTCATGCCCTTTTGACTTTCATTATTTCTCCTATAGGGTCTCCCTTTTTCCCTGAGTTGGCCTGGATTTTGACCCTCATATTTACACTTTCTGCATTCCTGGGATGACTACTACATACATGCTACTACACCCAACTTTTATTTTGGTGGTAGGAGTGGTACCACAGTTTAAACTCAAGGTCTTGGCTTGGCTTACTTGTTTGACTGACACTCCACCAATTAATTGAGCCCTACTTTTTTGCTAGTTAGTTTTCAGATCTTTATGCATGCCTTTGAACTGCTGTCCTCCAGATATCAGCCTCTTGAGTAGCAAAGATTACAGGCATGATCTAACAGCATCTATCCATTTCTAGGTTTTTATAGGCTGAGATGGGATCTCCTGGTTATTTTTCCCTAGGCTGATCTCAAATTGTGATCTTCCAGATCTTAGCTTCCCAAGTAGCTAGAATTATAGGCATAAACCACCATACCTGTCTCCCGTATGCTATTGCAAATAGGCTTACGTTGATATATCATGGCCACTAGGCTAAACTGGATATGGAGAATAAGTTACTTGTTTTGACAAGAATTTGAATATCATAATGCTTTATTATGGCTAATGGCTGCTATTTGTGCCACAAATTGCTTAATGCTGGGCAATTTCTAGTTTTTCAAAATGTAAACTCAAAAAGTTTTAGCTAAATTTGAGCAACATAGATGAAATAGTTGAGTGTATATTTATATATAATCTTCCAACTTGGATATAAATAGCACTTTATTTTTTTAAACATTTTTATTATCTTTGGGTAGTTATACAAAGGAGTTGCCATTCTACAAACAGTATATGAGTACAAACCCTGTGACAACATTGTCGTCCATCTCTCTTAACCCATAACTTCTTAAGTAGCACTTTAAACACAAACTATAAAAAATATTTTAGAATTATTCTTTTGCCACTCTTTTATACTTCAAGAAGCAGTTTTGGTTCAACTCCTTTCACCTGTATTTTTAGCACCAGCATGCTGCCACTTTTGTAGATACCTATCCTCTTCCCTACCTGTTATCTAAGAACAGGGCTTTGTGAAACTGCCTGATGTAATCACTAGAAATTGTTTCCCCAGTTATGGAAACCTACTTACTAGTCATAATCTCTAGTAACCACTTGCTCCAGTGCCTTACTGTTTGTGTGTGTCACTCCTAGAGCTTGAACTTGGGGTCTGGATGCTCTCTAGTAGCTTTTATGCCAAAGACTAACACTGTCACTTGAGTCATTGCTCCACTTATGGCATTTTGGTGGTTAATTGGAGATAAGAGTATCAGAGACTTTCCTGCCCAGGCTGGCTTTAATCTATGATCCTTAGATATTTCAACTTCCTGCCTCTCTAGGATTATAGGTATAAGGTATCAGAGCCCAGCTTTGGTTGCCTTTTTAAGAGGTCTTTAAAACATGTATTTTCAACAGGATCCAACTCTTTGAATTGTTAGGTTATGGCTCCCAAAATAATTACTATCTCAGTATTTAATTACTTTCCTTCCATTTTTACCATCCTCTACAAATGGAGGACTGTTAAAACTATACAAATCACGCATTCTGTAACAATACTTTAGGCTAAAACATCTTCCCCAAAGAGTACTTTTTACAAAATAAAGTAATAGAGAATGCCTGATGTTACTAGAGGTCCACCTTACAACCAGTTATATATTACAGTTTAAACAAAAAAGAATAGGGATTTACACAAGTTTCTTTCGAGTTTTATGCAAAATGACTTGGATATGAAAGCTTTCGTCCATCTATAAGAAAGAGCTAAAGGATATGGTAGGATTGTCATGCTTTTAGCTGATGTAAAAACACTGAAAATAGAGTTCATAAAACCTACTGCTTTTAAAACACATTAGATCTTTTTAGAACTATAGGCTGTATTAAACTATAGGCCTATTAAACCTCATTTACTTTTGTGTTAATACACACGTGGAAGAAGGGGGGAAGAGGTGAAGAGAACACACACAAAAGCTAAAACAGGAGATATCTAGAATAAATGGTCTCTTGGTGTTGCATTACCAAAACTTTGGTACTCCAAATGAAATATTTCCAAAACCGACAGGCTAGATTTCCCTATAGTGTTATTCTCTTTAAAATGTATTATATTGTTTCCATTCTTTTCATCTTAGTATTTCCAAGAGAATCAGACTGAAGAACATTTTACAGATAAGGTGGCAGCTATTTGATTGATATGTTTGTACATAGCATATGGTGCATTCTTCCCTCTCACACTGTTTTGAGTCTTTGTTCTTGCCCACAATAGTAGTATATACAAGAACCATCCTGAAGCTTCCCAATGGTACATGTATGCAATACACATCATCTTAAAAAGCAATGAACAGTTTGCCATCACATTCTTTATTATTTGAAGTAAATCAAGCTGAGAGACATAGAGCTTAAAATAAGTTGTGTTAGAACTCTAATTCTATAAGATATTACAATTTCATAAGCTTATAAATGCCATTTAAAATGTTAATTAGAAGATGCATTTGTTTTAATTCATGATACTGAAAATATTGACTGAATTTTGCATTAACACATTTAGGGGTACAGATGTCATTTTTCATGAGATTTCCTGAATGATGTAATTTTCATTCTTCATATAGCAGTTTGATCATTTTACAGATTTATTTCACATAATTAGTAGTAAATGAGAAATTCAATTGCTGATATATAACTATTTTTCTGTAATATAAAAAGAAGTTAATATTTCTGAATTATAAATAAGAACAAATATTTTGAAGACATCTGGTCTACAGCTGTCTGAAATAAGATAATTTAAAACAGTGTAATTAAATGCAAGACATACTGAAATATTCACACCTTAGAATGTAAAAAAAAATCTCATCCCATTTTAATGTGATTTGTTAAGTTGGATTTTTTTTTAAAATTTTAGTGTCCTACAGACCCTCATTCTGTCATTGCAGAAAAGACTGACAAACTAAACTAAAATTAATCCATGTTTTTTAAAGCCTAAATAGAACTATGATCTACTATCATCATCATTATTTTCATTATTATTTTATATATCGAATAACCTCCACTCTTAGCCTAATAGGACTAGGTCTAAACTTAAACCTGTCTCTTCCCTTTTAAGATTTACACTGCTCTATTCAATCACTGGGAATGAGAAAATAGTAGAAGGGCCTATAATCTCACTCCTGAGAATGTATATTCTTGTGTGCATAAAGGAGATCAGTAAATGTAGGAAGAAGTCGTTCAGACTGTGGAAGTGAGGCCCATCTTTAGCACATTCTCATGATCAGCAGAGAATCATTCTTTGAAGGAATTTTTTTCTTTTAAGAATATCTGCGTTAGGTATAATATTGACAGTTTGGGAAGAAAGAAAAATATTGAATATACCCTCTGTAACCTAACCTTAAAATGTAAAAAATAAAGATTCCTTCCCCAACAAAGGATGTCAAGCCTTAAAACTTCAATGGCAAACGAGGTTTATTTTGCTTTTTGGGTTTTTTTGTTTGTTTTCTCCTTTGTTGCTGTTCTTGTTTTCTGTACCTTCTATCTTTTTTAAATAATTATATTTTATTGTAAAGATGCTGTACCAAGGGGTTACAGTTACATGAGTAAGGCAATGAGTATATTTCTTGTTGGGTATTGTTACCCCGTCTCTTATTGTTCTCCCACTATCCCTTCCCTCCTCCACCTCCCTCATTCCTCTCCTGCCCCCGACTGCCTGAACTTGTAAAGTTCATTTCCAGTATACTGTCTTGTGGTATCATTGTTGCAGTGGGACATCCTGTGTCCTTGTTTCAGCGTTTTGTTATTCCCCTTCCTCTCCCCAAATTAGACAAAGGTATATACAAGATTCAGGGTACCAAAATCAATTACAGTGACAACAGGGGATCTACCATAGTGGGAAGAACATACAAAGGAAACAAAAAAAAATTGCATAGTACATTAAAAAACCTCAACAACAAAGAAAGACCTCTTGTGTCCTTATCTTGGGGTTCATTTCATTTTTGAGCCTTTCTGCTCATCTGATAAAATTATCCTAGATGTATACTAATTATTGCAAATGAGGGAAACCCTGGAACCTTTATTTCTTAGGGTCTGGCTTACTTCGCTTACTATGATTTTTTTCCAAGTCTTTGTATTTCCTAACAAATGGGGCAATGTCATTCTTTCTGATGGAAGCATAGAATTCCATTGTATATTCCTGTCTTGTATGTAAGTTTATCTGTTTTGTGGAGGTTAAGGAGTAGCATAGAAATGGTGGCACTAAGGGTGAACAAATGCAGCAGTGATACTCACTAGTTGACAGTGACCTATCTTGTGTGGGAGGAGGGACAGGAGGGAAAAAACAGGGAAAAAATGAGGGAGGAAATGACACTGTTCAAAAGAAAATGTACTCATTATACCTGACTTGTGTAACTGTAACCCCTATGTATACCACCTTTACAATAAAATTTTTAAAAATTAAAAAAATATTCAAATATTTATTAGCAAAATAGTCTAAACTTAAAATATAAAATAAGAAGATATGTGCTCACTATCTGACGTACATAACTGAAACCCCTCTGTATATCACCTTTACAATAACAATAAAAAATAGATTTTAAAAAATTCAATGGGACTGGGCATCATCCTAGGAAAGACGTGTGAGGATGTGAAAACACTCAGTGGCTGCTATAGTGGAATAATAGGGAGAAATGTCTGTGTGAATGCCAGAGATTCCCCTCGCCAGCAAAGACCCTGAAAAGAATTGGCACTGTGACTTTCTTTTCAACATATACCCTAAGGTAACACAAGCTGTATTTTGTGTGTTTATTTCCAGGGAGCATGACAAAGATCCAGAGACATTTTTTAAGGTATTAATGCACCTAAAGGATTTAGAACTTCCTTTTCACATCTCTGTCCTCGGAGAAACTTTTACAGATGTCCCAGGTACTTCTTCCAAATTTTCTAATTTATATTTCAATAGATGATGTAAGCTCTACAACTTAAGTATTAATTTCCATGTTTTTCTTTGTTAGAATAATCAAGATGAGCACTGTTAACCAAAAGATTATACGATGGCATTAAAGTCCGATTCAATTAAAAAAATACTTAAGTAAGCATTCTTTGATTTTAGTTGAGAACATGAAGTCATCTATTTTATCAAATATAGTTTATACACTGAATCTTGATGTAAATAAAATATATTGCTATAGGCATCTTAACACTTAAGGAAAGTGGGAAATTGTAATTGGATGTACAACCCCTCACCTCTGGGGTCACTGGTTTGAATCATGTTCACATTGGTAATGGCTGAAATACATTACCATCTGTTAGGTGTCCTATGTAAAGCATTTGGGCATCTAACTTTGTAATGTGGAATGAACTGCCATCCACATCATACTTGTCATCAGTCTGCACCTTTTTTATTGAACTTGCGAAAGACACAAAATTGGCACCTGTTAGCAACAGGTCCTCTTATTCCATGTCCTTCACCCTGCATCCTCCCCAGTCATGTTTGCGTCAGTAAACTGAGCATCTGATGCTTCTCATAAGAGCTTGCATTCATGTCTTTAAAAGCTTTGGATGTTGAGCGTTATTTGAAAACTAAATATAAAGTGAACAGAAGAGTTATTCAGAAATGACCCTAGCTACCATGCATTATACATTGAAGGACCACCTACAGTTTGATTTCACTCAGCAAATACTTTCTGATCTAGTATAGTGCTAGTAACTACTCCTAACATATAGTCATTAGCTTCATCTTTGTAGTTTATCTGTGCCTCCTGCATCTTATGGACACTGATTTGTTCTCTGTTTCTGAGAAGTAAGGCACGAAGCTTCTTTAGACAACATTTGTGTAATTTTCTTCTATTTTGTCCTTCTGATATGTACTATGAGACATTTTATGAAGCTTTGTCAGATCTCTCAACTCTATATGCTTTTGTATTTACCTCACTTTCAAATTATGTAATATACATCTGCATTTTCTTATCTCCTCCACTCCATGTATACGTGTATATATGTGCCCTCAACTGTAGCATCTGTGAGGTCCAGAGACTATCTTGTTCTCCACTGTAGCTCAAAATGCAATGGCGAGATCATCATATTGCTGGTGCTCAGAATATTTATCAGATAAATAAGGTAATTTAAGCTCACTTCCCCTGAAGGAATTATCCTTTTGGGGGGGAGGGAAGGAGGGTCCGGTCATGAGGCCTGAACTCTGGGCCTGGGCGCTGTCCCTCAGCTCTTCAGCTCAAGGCTAGTGCTCTACCACTTGAGCCATAGCACCACTTCCGGCTTTTTTTCTTTTTGCTTATGTGGTGCTGAGGAATTGAATTCAGGGCCTCATGCGTGCAAGGCAAGCGCTCTACCACTGAGCCTCCTTCCCAGCCCAGAATTGATCTTTTTGAAAGAAGATGATTGGGCTGGGATGTAGCTCAGTGGCAAAGCGCTTGCCTAGCAAATACGACGTTCTGGGTTCGATCCTCAGTACCAAAAAAGAAAAGACAAAAACCAACCAGTTTTTTTAAAAAAAGAAAGATGATGGTAGCGGTAGGAAATTTGTGATAAGCATGTGAAACATTTTCATTTTTGCTGATATTCTTATAACAACGGAAAGCTTTAAAAAAGCTCTTCAAATTTATTTCCTAAGTATTTCCTCATCCCATTAGATACTAAAATGGATTCCTCCTTTCTTCTTTCTGTCTGCATCACAAGAAACATGTCAAAAATAATATAAAGCTGGTCATAGTGGTTAATTGTAATTCTAGCTCCTTGAGAGGCTGAGATAGAGACTATGGTAAGGAAAGTCACAGTTTTGGGGTATCCCAAACAGAACAGGAGACTCATCTCATTAGAAAAAAAAAACTGGGTGTGGTAGTACACACCTGCATCAAGTCCTGGGGGGAAAAATGTTACCAAAAGCCAAGCATGGTGGTCCACATCTATAATGTACTTTCCTACTTGGGTGAGAAGAAGGAGGATAGATAGTATAAGAATAGCCTTAGTAGGGGGTGGGGATGGGTAGTGAGACTATCTAGAAAACATAACCAAAGCAAAAATGAGCTTTGGATGTATCTCAAGTGGTAGAAAACTTAACTAGCAACTGTAATGAATTCAGACTTCTCATGCTACAAAAATAAAAGACAGGGGAAGACAGACAGACAAACAGACAAAGATTATTCCTACCATGTGTTCATCGCAAAGCAGCACTCAACTTGTTACTGTTGTTCAGAGACTCAAGCTCATAGATAAGAAAGCAAGCACTAGCTCAAGCATTATAAGTTACCAAAAGGAAGACAAAACTCAGGAACTATTCCATCAACAATTAATTATTTTGTCTTAGAAAAAGTATGACAACCTGTTAAATTCATTAGCTAGAACTTTTCAAAGCACTGCTCAATTTAAATAAGGTCAGGAAAAATAATCCTACTACGTGTTGCGAAGGGAAAACACAAGCCAAGCCCTAGTGGCTTTTTTGAAATCTTGGTTTGAAATCAGCCTGGGAAGGAAAGTCTACAAGATTACAAATCCAATGAATTAGCACAAACCTGGCCTAGAAGTATGACTGTATAGCTCATGTGGTAGAGGGCCACCAGCTCTGAACAAGTCAACCAAACAATAGCATGGGCCAGACCTCTGAATGCAAACCCTGGAGCCAGATTTGGGGCTGGGGGTTGAGTGGAAGAATCAGGAGCAGAAATATTTGGTGACCTTCATAATGGATCTCTATAGCTCCAACTTAGTACTATCCATCATGGTTTGTGGGTCCTTGGAGCAAAAACCAAGCTAATTCAAGGTTTCTACCTTAAGAAACCTTGATGAGATTATCCCAGTTGAGTAAAAATGTTGCAAACTAGGAAACAAACCATCTGGTATCTAAAGACATATCTAGAAACTGTCCTGTATGACAGAACCTATATGAAGTGAAGATTTTTCTCTTGTGAAATGGAGTTAATTATCACTTACCAACAACTTGGCATTTTGAAAAGCTTACAGTAATTGACAATCTGAAGTAGTTCGCTTCTACTGCAAGAGGACATTTGGCAATATATAGAGAAATTTCTGGCTATTACAACTCTAGGCAGAGATTGCTCCTTCAGCTAGTGGATGGACACTAGCAATGTTTTTAAGCTTCACAGCTGCACTCCATAGAACAGTCCCGTCTTACAAAGACTGATCCAACCAAAAATGTAAACAACACCAAAATTGAGAAACTCTGATTAATAGAATTTAAAGTCAGCAAACAGGTTTGGAGATGGTTCTGGTAGCTTTCTAGGTTAAGCTCAGTTAACCCTTTAGCGCAATAGAAAGGAAGAGGTGGGAGAGGGAAAGGATAATTAAACCACCTGCCCTATCGAGTTCACTGAGTTATAATGAGGATTTCAGCAGAATTAGATAATTTGGGAAAAGTACTACTATGCAGATTTTGTTATTAGACTCGTGGACTTCCATGTAGAATTTTTAAACTATGTAGAGTAAGTCTTTAGTGCATTTTTTCATCCAAAGATATTAGTAATGCTGCACTTCAAAAATTCATTTTTAGTCCCAAAATTGAAAGGTCATTCTGCTACATAAACCATCTGTGTCTGACACTGTGTTACAAATGAACCAAAAAGCCTAGAAGCTCCTCAATGCTAATATTTGAATGTTGGCCAATTCTCATGACAAGGTCACATTGTTAGCCCTTGAAATGATTTAATTTAAAAAAACACAAATGCTTAAGACATCAAAGCAATGGAATGTGTTTGTGTACTTAATAATTTCCCACAAATTCTAAACAGAATCTTATTTTCTATGGGAAGCCAAATCCTTAAGTAAGGCTTTTCTTCCTTCCATACTACAGACATGGTAGGAGAAAAGAATTTTAGATTTGGACATTAGGGTGGCCAGAGAGGTTGCAAGGAAACTCAAAATGTGAAGTATGGTTTTGGCAGACAGAAGTCTTTCTGATTCACCCTTAAAGTTAAGGTTAAGAACAATATGTGGAGGGCTTCTGTTTAGTATCTAGTATGGTAGTGGTATTACTATGATCTATGATTCTTACTTAGATCTAGAGGCAAATGTTCGATACTCATATAGCATTTACCTCTCCTCCCACCTTCTCCTTCAGTCAGCTTCAGCTACTAGCTCATTTTCAACAATTTGGCTCCCTAAAGAGTGAAATGCTTGGAAAGTTCTAGGAACACAAATAGCAAATATTATATTTATATAGAACTTTTAATTTTTTTACTGCAAAGTCTAGAGAAGAAAAGCTATTAATATGACATAAGATTATATGTGAGATGAAGTAAATGCCCTAATAAGTCTAACTAAATTCATTCTATCCATGCCATACCATTGCCTAAACCTATTCCATTCCTTGTAATCTCCTTAAAATTTTATCACTAACACTATTTCTAAAGTAGAGTTAAGTACCAAGTTCTTCTTATGGCCTAGCATCATGTAAAGTACTGAGAATACCGAAAAGAAAGCATAGTCCTGCTCCTAGAAGTTTCAAGTCTGATTGGAAAGAAAAAATATTTTATGTATTCATATTTTATTATCCCATGGCCTTTGAAAAATTATACCACCTTAAGTAGTTTTGAATACACTATTTTCTAACCCTTAATGAACAGTCCTTACAGCAAGCCAGTGATTTAGATAATCAAACAAGTATTGACATCCCCAATTTATAACTGAAGAAAATGACTTACAATGACTCCATTTTAGAAGCATGGATGTGAATTAGATTCTCAGTAGACGGAGCTACCCTCATAGGGTTCCTAGAAGTAGACATATGTTTACTTTCCCAAGAATATGACTGGGAAAATCGGTTTCCTAAGAATCTGAAATTCAAACTAAAGTCTTCTCTCTCCCAGTCTTTGCTGAAGTGAAGAAAACAACAAACTGTAATGAGACTCAAATAACTGTAGACATACTTGCTTCTGACAGGAAAGAGTAAATGC